TTATTGAAATTTAACTGTTTCTTTGGGTGGAATTTTAGAAACCATTTAATTCTGTGAAAGTGCAGCAAGTTTGTGGCAGGAAATTTGCATTCCCCCTGAAGTAGTACTGACTTGCTTCTAGAACCTGGGACTTCATCACACATGCTAAGATGTGAAGGAGGTTTAGTAGAGCTCAGAGGTGGAGGTTGAAATGTCACAAGGATGTTTGTTGGTTCATAATTATGGCTAGCAGAGTGTGATACTTCAAAACACAAGGAGTTAGCAGCATGGGAGGTGGTGTTTTCAATTTTATTTTCTTTACATAATTAAAAAAAAAACTTCTATGCACACTGATCTTTGTAATCAGCTACAGAAAACACCTCAGAAGTCAAAACCAAGATTCTTCCAAGTTTTCATAGAATTCAGGACATATTCTTTGATTACTGAGAAATTTTTATGTGTGTGTTGGGCCTAGGGATATAGTCTTCAAACCATTTCATCTTTCTCTTCATGATTTTACTTACTTTGTTTTATCCAAGTGGAAGCAGTTTGGGCTGAGACTGAAAGGGGTGTTTTGCAGAGATCAGCACTTGACAAACTTGTTTTGCTTTATTGGCCCCCGTGACACGTGAAACATGTATACATACAAGCATGTATTTCTATGTTCACCCATATATCACTCTCTGACAGCAGAATATACCAGGTGGGGTTTTGTTGTTGTTGTTAAGCTGCTGTTTACTCTTTCCCAGCATTCCCAGCGTGCCTGCTTCCCTGAGAACACTGGCTGGAAACATTCGGGGTCACAGTTACCATACAACTGCCCAGTGTTCTCTGTTTATCCAATGTCTGTGTGTGGAGACAGTCTCTTTAAAGTGCTATTTCTAAAGTAAATTGCCAGTGCTTCCTTTGCATGCACGTAAGGTGCACTATAAATTCCTGTAACAGAAGTAGGGGAAAAGATGATAACTTTACATCTTGACGCTCCTTCGCCTTTACTCTGGCAAGTCTGTCAATTACCTAAAAAAAAAAGCTGGTAACGAACTAGCAAAGGTCGGGGAGATGCCTTAGTGTGAACAGCACTCGCTGCTGTGCTAGAGGCCCCAGCATTACATGGTCGGTCCCAACCATAACTCTGATTCCAAGGAATCTGACTCATCTGACCTCCATTGTTACCAGGCACACGCATGGTTCGCATACATACATATATACATACACACATGTGCACACTCAGATACACAACTACATATAAAATTAGTTTATAAAACTCCCCTTTTAAAATTAAGATGATTCTTCACAGGGCAGTGGTAGAACACATCTTTAATCCCAGATCTCAGGAGACAGAGGCAGATGGATCTCTGTGTTAGAGGTCTTTTATACAGAGTGAGTTTCAGGGCAGTGAGGGATACACTGAGAAACCCTGTCTTGAGAAACCAAGACCAATAAACAAACAAACAAATAAATAAACAAATAGTTGAATTATAGTTTAGCTTATGTTATTAGAAGTATGAAAAATGCATCATTGATATCCTTTCTAGTGTTGCATCTAAATTTTGTGTAAAATATTTTGACATAATGTCTTTGAGAACATTTTATTCTTGTTGGTACCAAGTGCATGGCCTCGATCCTGATGGGATTATTGGTTATTGATGGACACGGGCTGCCCCAGCATCCATTCTTGTTTCTACTTCCTGCCTTGTGGTCCTTTGAACTTTTCCTGTTCCTGTTGCACATGTGCCAAATGCTCTGCCCTTTCTGAGCTCTATCTGAGAGTGATACAGTTTTAACAGAGTAAGATTCTATGCTCTCACAGCCACAGTCACTACCTGTCTTTCAGCAGGATTGCTTTCCTTTCCAATTCTAAGGAGCGGTTGGAAACTGTGCAGACTCTGCTCCAGTCAGATGTCTTTTTTTTCCCCCCATCCTACTAGGTTCAGAGTTTCCATTTCCTCTTCCCTTTGACCTGGTAGTTGTTTTCCTCCTTAGGCAGTGAGTGTTGACTACTCTTGCCTACTAGGATTGGAGGAAGTTTAAAACATCCATAAGTATAAGGGAGAAAAAAGGGATATTCAATTAACACGGATGATATTTCTCCTACACTTTAATTTTTCCATCTTCTGGTACTGCTAGAGCATCTTAATTAGGAAACCAGTGAACAGAAGGCCTTTCTAAAATCTCCATGTAGAAGTTTGAGGTTCAAATTCCTGATTTCTTTTCCTTGCCTTTTTTTCCTTCTGGCAGTTTAAAGGAGATTTATTTATTGTCACTATTTCACATATACAAAGAATTTATTTCTGTGTTGTATATTTGGAATATTTACTACTTCCTTTGTAAAGCAGATGAGGACAGAGGGGCTCCTCCTCTTCCTCCTCCTCCTCCTCCTCCCTACTTCCTCATCCTCCTCCCACCCCCATGGGAAATTCCAAGCATACCCACAACCAGATAACAATAGTGCCGCAAACCAATAAACCGCCAGCTCAAGACCAGTGTTGTTCCGGCAATAGTCCACTCCATCCTTGCCCTACGCCCATCCCTGCCACCATAATGTCCACAGTTTCATAACGTCCTAGTGTCAAACCATTCTGTCGCTGTCACTTATGCTAGAAGACAAAGCTTCAGCCTTACACTCAGTATTTTTTGAGTGTTTATTCTGAGAAAGCTATGACTTTAGGTCCAGGGCATGTGGTATGCACACAGTCTCTTTGAAGATCCACATTAGGTTTTCCTTTCTTGTGGAAAGGTGGTTTGCTGCCTGCTCACAGCTCTGTAGTCGTCTGTCACGTGGCTCCCGCTTCACCACCCAGATCGCTGCTCTCCCTGTACTCCCCTGTCCCCTGGTCTCCTCGCGACTTCAGTACACGTCACTAACATCTTTTCTCGTCTGTCCCACGCAACATGTGCTACCTACCACCTCGTCAAGCTTTTGTTATTTTTTTATGGTATCTTCTGATTTTGGGGGGCATTGAACATGAAATCCTCTGCCTTCTGCATGCTGAGATTAGACTCATAGCCCTAGGCATGACTACCCCATTGTTTTTTTTTTGAAAACTAATTTAAGGGAGGAGAGAGAACTGATAGTTCCTCTTGGTTTTGTCAGTGGCAATAATTTTAAATCAAACAAAGGTGATGAATGATTTGGTGGCAGCTGCCTCTTGAAAACATCAGTTGACTTACCATCTTTACGGTATATACCAGAATTAGTCCCCAAAGATTGTTGGAATAATAATGGGTAATTGTTAGGATACTCTTTTATTCATGATGCCATTTGCCATCATAAAAAATGTAGTTGTGATCATTTGGGTTTCATGCTAAATATCAACATGTTGGAGCTAGAGAACCATGATTTTGAAGAAACAACAGTTAATGATTTGGATATTGAACATCTTACATTTTGACACTATCTATGTCTGTCCATAATGACTGAATTAGGTCTCATTTCTTTTTTTGACACAAGTTCAAATAACTAGTTTAAAATCTTTTAAAATCTTGCCTTGCGTCATACTTCATCTCCTTTGTTGGATCTATTTCCGCATAATTTTGTTCTTCTCTCCATGCGTTGCCTTGACGCCATCAAATAAGGTTGACATCGCCTTTGCTGTTCATGGAGGAATAGATTAAGCATTTCATTGAATCTGTATTAAGGATATTTAAAATGCTTGTTTCCTTTTTAATAGCCTATACTAAGGAAATTTTGCGTCTAGATGGATTTACAAATCTCTCTGGTCGTGGAAATGATGAGATTGTTCCCTGTTACAGCCGTGGCCCTTCACTGCTCCTCGCCTGCTTCACCCCTTCACCCCGTGCCTTCTCTTTGGTTCTGTTTCCCAGTTAGCTTCAGTGCTTGATTTCTCTGAAGGCAGGGGGGACCTGGGGAGTTGTGCATTCAGTCCAGTTTTACTGTGAATCTAAAAGTGCTTTTAAAAATGAAGTTTTTTTTTTTTAAAGTAGGGATGGAGAAAATTCACAGCCATAAGGAATGATGTACTTTCAAAGCAACACTGGTGTGTGGAGACACAAAATTTGAGTAACTGTTGGAACTCAGTGAATGTTAGAAATATTTCGTTGTTTAGACAGGAGCTCCTGAGCTGGTTGAGTGCTTGCCTAGCACGTGGGAAGCACTAGGTTAGATTCCTAGCACTACAGAAAGCTACCATGGGTACAGATGCTTTAATCCTAGCAGAGTGACCATACGTTCAAAGTCAGGACTAGGCCTGAAAGTGTGTGCACCTAACCCTAGGACTTGGAAGGCAGAGACAGGGGGATCTTTATGAGTTCCAGGCCAGCCAGGACTACATAGTGAGATTGTCTCAAAAAGAGTCCGAAGTTCCTTGGCTGCATTGTGACTTTGAGACACCCTAGCCTGCGTGGAATCCTGTTTGCAACAAAACTACAGACACCAATAAATGAGCAAAGACCAGTAAGGTCTTTCTAACTAAAGGTTCTCTTTATATAGACTAGTTTCACCTATATTGTAGTACTGAAGAATTATGGAAATTACTCGAAATAGTCAGGAAAGACAACATTTTAATTAATACATAATTTTTTTTCAGCGATTGAAAATGTTTCTCAGACATGCATTTTTATGCCTTCACTCTAGATAAAAGTAATGGATGGGTTCTCGGAATCCGTCACAGGTCATCTAGAGAGTAGGCCTGCCGGCTTCTCAGTGAACCTGGCTGTTCAGATGGATTCAGTTATTTCCAAGGATCTCACCACTAAATGTCCACAGTTGTTTTCTGTGGGTTTTGATTTTTTTTTTAATGACGCCTCTTACTGTTACCCATGCTGACCCTGACAAGATCCCTTCCTGTAGCTTCTGAGTAACTGGGTACAGCATTTGCCAACAGCCTGGCCAGCGTTTACTGTTAATTGGAGATCTTTCTAAGAACTTATTTGATCATTAGTTCATAAATTGCACCTATGTTTCATGTGTCATATCACCTATTTGAGCTGATTATGTTCTCATCTGATTTTCCAATGCACAATTTAGAGAGGTTTAAATTCTTTTTTTTTTCCTTCTATAGCGCTTCCCCCTGGAAGTCCCGGCCCCATTACTCGACATGGGTCCTATGACAGCTTGGCTTCCGACCATAGTGGACAGGAAGATGAAGAATGGCTTTCCCAGGTAAAACTCTGACATATTGGGTTTATTGCAATGAAAATGAAATGAAATTTATGCCCTGGCAAAGCATGCATGGGTAGCCCGTCTATGGTGGTTCTGTTGAACTTGTCCATATTGAGTTTCATGGTCTAAGTTGATGAGGACGACTGACCAGGTCTCTCTCTCTCTCTCTCTCTCTCTCTCTCTCTCTTTCTCTCTCTCTTTCTCTCTCTCTTCAATTTATTATGTATACAGTATTCTGCCTGCATGTATTTCTGCACACCAGAAAAGTGCACCAGACCTCATTACAGATGGTTGTGAGCTACCATGTGGTTGCTGGGAATTGAACTCAGGACCTTTGGAAGAGCAGGCTGTGCTCATAACTGCTGAGCCATAAGGGAGAATGGAAATCTGTGTTTATTCTGTTCTTTTCCTTACAGGAAAGTGGAGATAATTGGTACACTTTGTGAGTCACCAGATCTATGAGTATTTTCTTATTAAGAATGTCTTAGAAATACTGTTATAGGAGTGCACACATATATTTTACTTGTACATATTACGTCTATACCTCACTGACATTTATCTGTGCTCATGCAAATGTTTGCTTGGATGCAGAGCATACAAAACGCCCAAATGCTTTTGTTGGTTTTCTGCTAGTTCCGGCTGGAATTCCTTTCCTGGCTGTTACCGATGGCCTCCCACCATGCCTAAAACAGCGTCACTCAGCTACTCTCAGCCCACTAGTGGCTCCGTCTTCAAGTGAAGCGCTTTGATTTCAAAGCGACTTGGGCAGATTTCACAGTGGAGCGATTACAGTGACTTCATTACAGATGCTGTTGTGTCTGCCTCCAGCCTGACATCATTTGGGGAGGTTAATGACCTGTCTCGCATTACCCATTTGGCAGCTTTTATCAGACAGGTGCCTCAGAGAAGTCGGACCCTTTGTGGTGTTTTCAGGGAGGGTAGCCTGAAAAGCAGAAGTGGCCCTTGAAACTGGAGGATCAAGCCATTTCTACTTGATGTATGTTTATTCCAGTACCCCAACAATGCTCGCGGGGTGCCCTGTGAATGGCGGCCCATCTTCTGGCATGCGGAGATTCTTCCTCTCCTGGTGCTATCAAGATAAAATAACCCATTGTGCACAGGATTTGTCCAAGAGTGCTGGCACAGAAACCATTGTCCTTCATTCAGCTTTTCTTTGAGAAGAAGGGGTAATGTGTGCTGTCAGTGTGAAAGTGCATACAGTATGTTTGCCCTGCACACAGCAGGCGTGTGAATACTGCAGCATCTGGCTATCGCCTCAGTGAAATTGCACAGGCATATGTTTACCTCTCGGCTCTGTGACACTCATGGCTTTGAGCTTAAAATATACACAATTCTTTATCTGTGGCCTAATTTACATTGCCGAGTGCAACTCTGAGAATCAGAAATCACTGTCCTTGCTCTGAGTGGTTTCTCCTGTCATCAGTGGGTATGCGAATATCCTTCCAAGACCAGGATGCCTGTGGCCTCTCGAAGTCGCATGCCTTTGCACTCCGTGAACCTTGTCAGTTGTGTTTTGTTAAAACTTAATCACTGCAATCTGAGAAACGTAATTAAATATAAAAGAATCAGGGCAAGGACTCCAGGCACGTGGGAGCCAGTTTGATTAGGCCTTTGCGCAGATGTGGGTACGGCAATGGCAAGGCTGGGAGAAGAATAGTTGGATTTTGCCGAGGATCCTCAGAAGCTGTTGTTCCCAGGGTCGTCTGCAGAGCCATTTTCAGGATCCCCCATTTTCTGTTCCTTTTTCTTACAATATTGAGTATAATCCTAGCAATGTTCCACCCCTTCCGTAGAGTTTGATAACTATAAAACTTTTGAATTACTGTTTTACTGTGTGTAGAATCCTTTGTCAACGTTTATGACACGGAGAAAACATTTTGATCAAGTATCACTTACATGAGAGAAACATAATAGCTGCTTTGTTTAAAATAGATGTGAGGGCTGGAGAGACAGCGCAGGAGTTAAGTGCACTGAGTCCCCAGCTCCGCATGGGGTGGCTCACAGCTGCCTATAATTCGGCTCCTAGGGATCCCATGCCATCATCTGGACTCCCTAGGCACCTGCACACAAGTGACGTATCCTCACACAGATACATACACATAAATAGAAATTAATCTTAAAAATGTATTTAAAAAGTAGACATGAGAAAACTTGGAAGCAATGTAAATATACTATTGTATTGTACAAGGATCCAGCTTCATCTGTGAGATGATTTGGGCCTTATCTTGGTTTTCTAGAGCCAAGAACAACTGCACAGTTTTCAAGAGCTTGAGAGAATTACTTAGTCGCCTCCATTGCATGCCCACACTGGGCATGCTGGCTTTGCTGAATTTACAAAGGCGGTCAGTCCCCAGGAAGCTGATCTAGTCACATGTGGTTCACAACTCAGGTTTCCAACTCTACAATTCCTTTTGCTTTCATGGGATTTTTGTGTTTTAGATGTACAATATGGTGCATACATTATGGATAGGTTGATGTATGTACATTTCCACAGTTTTAGGTGAAATTTCTCTTCAGATTATGATATAATTATATAATTTCCCCTTTGCCTTTCCTCCCTCCAAGCCCTCCTATGTACAAACCTCCCACCCCCATTTTCTTTAAAATTCATGCTCTTTTTCTCTTTAATTGTCAGTGGTGGTGGTGGTGTGTGTGTGGTGTATGTGTTTATTCTTAAATATGATTACAGCCTGCTTATTCAATATAATATATATAAGTTTTCAAGGCTGACCATTTAGTATTGAATAACCAATGTGTGCGCCCTTTCCTGGGAGAGACTGTCTCTGCCCCTTGGCATTCCTTAGTTGCCTGCAGTTCTTGGTCTTGGTTGAGGCTTGTGAGACCGCCCCTTCCACACTAGCATGTCTGTCGGTGTCGTTGTTGTTCATGTCATGTTCAGGCAGCCGTGTTGGTTAGACTTCTTTGGTGTACCTTCTTCGGAGACTCCATCTCACAGCAAACTTGCTGTCTCCACCATCCCTGAGACTTAGATGTGGGAATAGGCTCCACAACTCTACATTTTGGTAGGTATAGTTTTCTGTAATGTTCTCTATCTGTCTGAAAGAGTCGTCTCCTTGATGAGGGGTGAGAACTAGTCTGTGGGCATAAGGATCGATGTTGAGAATATAGTTTAATAAAGTGGAGGCCCTAGAATCTCCTGCAAGATCCATGACCCCAGGATTCTAGTCCAGGGTTTAAACAGGTCTAGTCTTAAGAGAGTTGTTGCTAACCACCCAGGCATATGTGCCACGACTGTGGCCTTAATGTTTTTGTGCCTTGCTGGTCATAGATATCATAGCTGGTTTGCTTTCCTCCTTTAGTAGCTTGAATGGCAAACTGTGGTATCATGAAAGCTAGTTCCCAGGTAGGAGACTTTCAGGTCAGATCCATTCACACCCTCTGGGTGTTCTGTCTGAAGTATATGGTCAGCAATAGGGACTTTCATTCTGCTTCTGGGCCATAACCAAGGGCAGCAGCAGCAACCTATGTTTTGAGAGTCTTTGACAACTCTGACCATCAGTTCATAAGAGGGCTTTGAAAGGGTTTCCGCACCCTGATATTGAGTCTCTCTGCCAGTGGAATAAATCAGATCAGGCTGCATTAATAAAACCAGGTTTAATCTGAGCATAGCAACTCCTGGGTGATTTGCAGGGGCTTGGGGGTGGGGTTGGTGCAGAGAATTCACATGGCCTGTTTATGGGCTGGGTCTTAAATACCATGTCTGCATGGTCTTGAGCATCTGGGTGGTGGTGGGGAGCTGCCACTTGGTGGGCTTCCTCAGGGGCGGGGTCTCGAGAAAGAGAGAGAGAGAAAGTGAGTGAGTGGAGCTTCGACCTAAACAGGCTTCTCATCCCTGGTATTGGGCTTTTTGTTACACTATGGCTCTTGCAGGAAACAATTTGGTTTTTTTAAGATTTTATATTAAATGATGTACATATGTTTGTGTGTGTTTGTCGGGGTTTCAGTACTTGAATATATCTTCTCTGAGAGATCAGATAGGAGTGCTGCATCCCCTAGAACTGGGTGTCTAAGCATTAGAAGTCACCAATTGTATGTGGCGGAGGAACAGGAATGTCCATGTAAGTTAGGATTGTGCTTGTATTTTGGCTTGGGTACTCCGAGTGTCTTTACTTCACTAAACTGGAAAGTGAATATTCAAAGAACAAGAGGTTACCGCTGCAGGCCATAATATATTGAACCACGACCCTGTCTCTTTTTCAGGTTGAAATTGTAACACATACTGGACCCCACAGACGCCTGTGGATGGGTCCCCAGTTCCAGTTTAAAACCATCCACCCCTCAGGCCAGACCACGGTCATATCATCTAGTTCGTCTGTGTTGCAGTCTCACGGGCCGAGCGACACACCACAGCCGCTCTTGGATTTCGATACAGATGATTTAGATCTCAACAGTCTCAGGTAAGAGAGAGGAAACCAGGAGGTTAGTTGCATGACAAGATGAAAGCCTTCCTTTGAAACAAGTGTCCTGTGCGGTGTTCACGGCTCCTTCTGACACAGTGTCCTATTGTTGACTACATCTGTAACTGTCATTTACTGTCATCTCTCGGGCTGACCACATGCTGCAGACAGTTTCGTTCTGAAATATCTTTTTGCTAATGCCAGAGCACTTTATAAAACTGTCCAGTTTGTGCTTCTTCTGAAGCCGGCACTGCTGCCTTTAGTTCCGCACCTGCGCCTGTCTCCTTCCCTTACTTCACACGAGATGAAGGGTCAGTGTGCTTCGTTTGTGATTGGTGGCTTGGGTTTTCCTGACCCGTACTCTACTTCCTACTTGTCAGGATCATATACATGTCTCAAGAGAACACTTTTCATTTCTATTTTTTTATGATTCACGTTAGTTATTTTTAAATTTTGTAGTCTCACATTAGCATAGCATTTAATTTACAATTTTCATTTTACTTGTCTTCTCTTTCAAAAGAATTCGAGGACTGGGATATGGCTGAGTGCTAAAGGGGTGCCTCATATACCTGAGGCTGAGTCCAGTCAGCCCCATCAGGAGAAAATCAGTCTGCTAGTAAACTCTGACTGGGTATAATTGCACACATCTTTAATCCCAGCATCCAGGAGGCTTAGATGGGTGGTTGGTGAGTCCAAGGCCATAAGAATACCTTTGCAAAATTTTAAATATTTATTATGCATTGTTTGTTTTTTAAAATAAAATTATGGGAAATTATATTCTAATCTCTGGATGAAATATGCCTTTATTCTTTGTCAACAGCAATAATTTAAAAAAAAAGTAACAAAACCAGAGCTGGAGAGCAGAATACTGCTGCTCATCCCAGGGACCCGGGTTCAATTCCCAGCACCATGTGGCAGCTCACAGCTGTCTGTAACTCCCATACCAAGGGATCTGTTAACTTCATACAGATATACATGCAGGCAAATCATCAATATACATAAAGTAAAAATAAAGTATAAGAATTTCTTAAAAAAAATAATAAAATAACAAAACCAAGCTGGATATGATGGCGCATGCCTGCCCATCATACACAGAGATGGCTGGATCTCTGTGAGTTCAAGACCAGCCAGGACCACGTAAGAGAGCCCCTGTCTCAAAACAAAACAAAGACAAAATTGTTGCCAGGCTAGATGAGGCTTTTAGAATTTTTTTTTTACATTCTTTAAATGCAGGACATAGTTGTTGTGTGCACGCCAGGCACTTGTTTTGAACCTGGGAACTCTGCAAGGAGGGGCTGGGATATAAATGATTCCACCCACCTGCCTAACTTTTATTGTGATGGTCCCCAAATCACTGACCATTTAACTGTCTGGACAGAAGCTCTTCCTCTCATTCACAATCCTGCATGACTCCTTAGATCTACTGCTAAAGCCAGAATCCAGGGTTTTTTTGTTTTTAATTTTTATTTTGTTTAGTGACTGGTTCTGATTCTGTAGCCCAGGTTGTTCTGCAATTCACTGTGTAGTCAGGATGGTTCTGAACTCTTCCTGCCTCTGCCCCCTGCTGAGTGCCGGGATTATAGGTGTGATGTAGCACAGCTGGGCTGTGTGCACTCTTCACGTCTCTTTTCTCCTGTCACGTGTGTTCATTGCGTTATGCTAGTTCTATCCCAGAATGTGTCTGGAAATTTGACTCTGTTCCCTTATGGACAGCATAGAAACTTCTTTGCTTCAGTGAGGTCCTTAGTCCTTTTTCTTTCCTTTTCTTTTTTTTTCTTTTTTCTTTTCTAAATGATTTTGCTTTTACTCCACCAATGCTTCATTTTTCCTTTCTTTTTTAATTTATTTATTTATTATGTATACAATGTTCTGCGTGCATGTCTACCTGCAGGCCAGAAGAGGGCACCAGATCTCATAACAGATGGTTGAGCCATCTATCTTATGGTTGCTGGGAATTGAACTCAGGACCCCCGGGAGAGCAGAGCCATCTCTCCAGCCCCCTCATTTTTCTGTTTATAGACTTGTTCTAACTATATAGCTGAGGCTGGCTTTGAGCTTGCGATCCCTCCTCTCCTTCCTTACTAATGCTTGGATCGTAAGCCTAACCTGGTGTTTTCATTTCTTCCCGTTTTTGTTTTGTTCCTCCCTTCCATAGTGCTAAGGATGGAACTTGGGGCCTTGCTCATGATGGGCAGGTGGCTCTGCCACAGTGCTACATCCCTAAGCCTTGATGCACTTTAAACATGCTTCCTAGGATGAGGTCATCTCCTAGCGCTAGCTTAAGCCCGTGTTCAGTGCTCATCTTTCAGTGACTTCCCTCTTGAACTTCATTTTGTTCCAACTTTTAAACATTACCCCAAGATGTCAGACAGTGAACATAGACAGTTGGACCACATTCTGTGTTGCTAGTTATTAAACACGGGCCATCATTCAGCGATTTGTGTTGACAGCACCACACGATTATGTAAGTATTAGTAAAACTTTTAAAGCAGGAGACCTTTATTTCTAAACTATTTTTTCTCTTCTGTGAAACACACAAGATCCTACCACTGTTTTCCTAGTCACCATCACCTGGTGCTGTTGAAGGCCCCACCCACTTTTGTCACATGAAAGCATCCTTATTGCCCATGTGTATAATCTACCCTCTTGTTTCCTGCAGTTTCTGCTGGGCATCTTTTCTTAGATATAGTCCTCCTAATATTTTATTACTTATTTTTTAAATAACAGTACATTTTCAAAATCTTTCCATTTTTCTTCGAGACCCTCTTTCCTTTTTAAATATGAAAGAGCTTCTAGTATTTTAAATCTAACTTTAAATTGTTTGTGCTTGATTTAACTAGAGTGTTAACATTGTTTGTTGATTATTAAATATATTTAAATATATTAAATAACAATTGTAGTTATTATCATTATAGTATTTGTTCTGAAGCATCTAGAGATTCAGCATTTATACCTTATCCGTCTTGAGCTTCATATTGTATATAATAAACCAGTTTTGCTGAGGTCCAAATTGATTATTACATGTTAATTGATAATCTTATGGAAGTTACTTAGTTGCTGCCCTGGCTGACCTCTGCAGCACAACCTTGTTATCCTGTCTTATTCTTGTTAATAAAATAACAGTGAGTAATAATGACGTGGGAATGTTAAATCTAGTGTGCACACCTTTAATCCCAACTCTGGGGGGCAGAGGCAGGAGGATCTCTGCGTTTAAGACAGAGACTGTCTGTCTGTCTGTCTTTCTATATTTATATATATCTATACAGAGAGATAGACAGAAAGATTGGCGGTATCTCTGCTGTCTTCTGTGGCACTGTGCTCAAAAGACTCTCGTGAAATATTCATATGTATACTTTTAAAAGCCAAAAGTTTTCACTGTTTTTTTCTTTTCCAATTCTATTCATTTTTCACTTCAGTTTTTCAACTCATTCTTAGTCTACTGAACAACACAGGTTAATGAGAAGAAGTTAGAGTGTGCCTGTCACGGTGGGAACGTCATGTCTCTAGAGCTCTGGCTTTGTGTCGGAGTTCGGGGCTGTAGCTCCTTCTTGGTCTGGTTGTAGAATGTATGGTTCTTTAATGGATTAAGCCATTCCAGCACTCCTGATTTAAGATCTGTTGTAGGAAGTGACAGTTTCCATGCCAGTAACATATGTGAACTAAATGAAATTGCATTGCAGGATCCAGCCAGTCCGCTCTGACCCAGTCAGCATGCCAGGGTCATCCCGTCCAGTCTCTGATCGCAGGGGAGTTTCCACAGTGATTGATGCTGCCTCTGGTAGGATGCTTGCAGAGCATTTCTCTGCTTTTAAGTTTTATTTTTTTACACATTATAGAGGATGACGCTCATTTGCTTTCGCCTTTCGTTTTGTTGGTTGGGGTTTTCTATGTCTCTTTACAGAGGTGTGCCTCTGTTTGCTACTGAAAGCTGCTGTGTATTCAGACTTTCTTAGTGTTGGTGAGTGGGGAGGTGGAGCCGGTCCTTGATTAAATGTAACAAACATGGTATTGAAGACTACAGGGTTGATGACTGCTTGCCTTTGATCACTTGAAATGTCAAGCAGCAGCCTTGACAGAGAGCGTAAATACAATATATGGATTCAATTTACTCAACCTGTGGAGTATCAAAGTGCCTGATCTGTGGCAGCAGAGGCAATCTGAATGCTGTATCTTAGATAGTTTCACTGTAGAAAGCATGAAGCTTAGAAATTCATCAGTTTAACCCTGGCATGTCTAGTATAGTTATTAATTTCCTAACCTTGCCATCAGCCTGTGAATGTGTAGCGTTACTATCTGGAACGGGCCTCCTTAGTGACTCTGGGCTGTTCCAGCTTCGTTTGTATTGTAGAGCTGTTCTCAGCCAGGCCTGGCGAATCATTGAGCCGAGTGTGATAATGCGCTCATGTAAGAAAGTGAGGGACGGGAGGATGGTGCTGCACACAGCGTTGCTGCACATGGGGAATGTCTGATGATCTCACCGGAGGGCTGTGTCCCCAACAATGTCATCGGGGATTTATCCACCATTCCACAGTAGTTGAACAGTTGAATTAGAACAGATTGTAATCTATGTTAGTTTCAAAATCCTCACAAACAGTTGATTTGATTGCGGCTTAAACTGTGAAAGAGAGCGGGACCCATTACAAAACTGCCGTCGCATTCTGTCTCAAAGTGTGTAGTCTTCATCTGTTTTCTTAGTTTTTTGAGTTATGTGCTTGTTTTGGTCAATTCAGATCTTATCAAGCGCCTACACCTCCACTTTAATGAGGGATCTTTGATGAGCATACATATCCTTGTTTTTCTGCTCTAAGTTGATAAATATGGTTGCTGCCTGCAACAGGCAGGGGCTTGGGGAAGCTATGTCCTGACTTCCCTGCATCAAATGGGGCTACTGAGACCTGTAAGCAACCGGCACTTGGGCAGTCTCAATAGGCCAGTGCTAACAGGGAACTGGCCTGAAATTACTGCTTACTGTGTTGACGTATTTGTTCAGTATTTAATCGAGGCCTTATTAGGCTTTTAATATGTTCTTAAAAATTAATAATATCTACAATATTATTAATTTTTCTGTCAAATAGACACTAGTAATGCGTGCTGCCAAGTGTCAGATGTATTTCATATAGTATTCTGAGGCAATAATGCATATTATATTGATCATAGAACAATTTTAGCTCTAGGTTAAGTTGTTTCAAGATTAGGAGAAAGTTTAGTGAGCCATTTAATCTATTTTTTTTTTTTTTGGAGAAACCTAATTTGATTTTTGACTAATAGAGTAGATGATCACACTTGATCTGCTTGTATCGCTACCAAAGGTGCAGCCTAAGGTTGGTTGTGAGTTGTTGCTTTGTGGCCTTCAACCTTTGAAATTGTCAGCAGTTTGGGTAGAGAAGGGACTTTTTTTTTTTTCTGGTGGCCAAGCTCTATTATTATCTCTTTATTTTAGGCCCATTTTTCCTTCCTGAAATCCTTGTTTCCTCTGTGAACCAATGAAGGCAGTGAACGTGAGTGCTCTCTCACCTGAGCAGAGACGCTTGAGCCACGAGGAGTTGGACTCTTGTGGATAATTCTCTCACGTGGTGTGGATCTCTTGATGAAGAGTCTGTGTTGTTTGGTTGAATGGATAATATTCTATTATCCACCCAGCATCTACTGTAATCAGGTCACTGCTGTTACAGAACCACTATTCTCCCAGTGTTTAACAAAATGAGCCTAAGTGATTGTGGTTCTTTGTGGAAAGAAATTAATGGGGCAGTTCTAACAGAGTCTATTTTTAAAAGTAAGACATTCATTGAAATTGTCCCTGAATCAGGAAGTGCTACTTTCATTGTGACCCTTGCGTTTGAGTAGTCTTTATTGGGAACCTGTTGCTTAGAGAAAATTCCCAATGTGGGATCTCCTTTTTTAGGTTTCATTGTTCTGCACTTCCTTGTTCCATTTTGTACTGCTTCATGTATTGTCTTCCCGTTTTCCCTTTGACATATTTTATAGCTGTCCTTCAGTTTTGGTGACAGAACCTCCTCCGTCTAACCATGTGGTGGTAGTCTTTTTTTTTTTTTTTTTTTTTGAAACAGGGTTTTTCTGTAGCTTTGGAGCCTGTCCTGGAACTAGCCACTGTAGACCAGGCTGGCCTTGAACTCACAGAGATCCACCTGCCTCTGCCTCCTGAGTGCTGGGATTAAAAGGCGTGTGCCACCACCGCCCTCTAATAGTGAAAAAAATTGTGTCTGTGTAAAAATATAACTTATCTGTTGCAGAATTTATGTTTATAATACACACACACATACTCTCTGACACATAATAAATTTCAAAGTGAAAGTATTTTGTTTAGACCTTGTTTCTGGACTCAGCTGTCAGGAGCACTTGCTCTTCCTGAGGACCTGGGCTCAGTTCCCAGCACACAGATGGCATCTCACAGCCATCTAGGGGATCTAGTGTTCTGTGCTGGCTCTTCAGACATTGCACACTCATGGTGCATAGACATGCATGCATGCATTATTTTAGCTATCTATGTATGTTTTCGTGTGACCTTATTCTATTGAACCAAAAGAGAAAAGCGGGGTTTTACTTCATTTTCTAGTTGTTTTCTTTCTTAATTTATCATGTAGAGATGCATGTAGAATACACACACAGTCAACTTTACTGAAGCACAGAACATTTTAGTTTCTCCTCTGATCATAGGTGTTTGATAAGTGGACATTATTTTCATCTTAACTGTGGTGCAGAATGAAAACACTGGGTAGCCTGAATTTGGGGATTCAGTGGTTGCGAGATATTTTAGACTCGAGATAAAGGGGACACTATTCTTGGAATTTCTCCCTGAGGCACAGCTTACCCAAAACAAAAAGGACCTGTGCTGGTTGCTCACTTTTCTATACATCCAAAGAATTACAAACTCTGTCTTTGAATCATAAATAATACTTTAATAGATTAATTTCTATATATTTACTCTATGAATTCTCTTCACTTTAAATACCTAAGATTTCTCATTGTTTATACCTAATATGATATGCCTGTATTTTAACTAAAGTAGAGGACTTCTAAGGAGGAAGCAGCTGCTGTCTCATTTGAACTTAGTTTCCCCAGTTCCATTTTTCTTTGGTCCCAGAGTTAGCCTCCCCACTCTAGCCTTCCTAGTGCTGGGACACAGATGCCCGCCACCTCACCCACTTTCCTCCCACACGCTTGCTTGTTTGTTCCTGGGTTTGTCCACCGTACCTTTAAGATAGCATAGTGTCATCTTTCCTTGTTTTTGCATAATAAATTGAAGATTTGCTGGAGATCCAGGTCAGTTTCAGTGTGAGACCAGTGCTTATCAACAGAGATTAGAGCACAGACATTCTGGGTCCGCACTTGGAGGAGACAGAATTTGTAACTTGATCTGCTCTTGTCATTTAAATGAGAGGTAGATTTTTTCAGCCATCATAATCTCAGGCTATCAAAGGTGCTGATGGGAAGGTGTATTCAGTTGGCCATGGTCCAGCTTTGTGGGGCAGTGGTCATAAAACTAAATCTGACTGGGATTAGCTGTGATGTCATAGTCATGGTCTGTAAGTTTTGCTGAAGCCTTCAGTAAGTCGTTTTCCTGCCCTGCTGTTGTTCTCTGCAGCCTTAAGTGGGAAATGAGAATTTCTGTGCAGAGTTTGGGTTCTCCTTCCTTGGAAGGGATGTATTAGAGTTATTTCCTAAGATAATTCCCAGATATAAAATGTGTAATGTTCTTTAGAAATATGAAGGTAATCCTTTGAATGAACGCTAAGTCTTTCCAGTCACACAGTTCCAGATACTGTTTGTGATTATAAAGTGACGAAAGCTCTAGGCTTGTCGCTTGTGTTGGAACAATAAGAGGATTAGGGAGAGGGGCAAAATTAAAAGAAGGCTCAGCACTGATTTGTGAACAGTCCCTCTGAAGAAGAAATATCCAAACTCAGTTATTAAGATTAGTATTTTTAATTTGAGATGATAAGGTATGGGTATTAAATCGGCATTCATCCTTTGGACACCTACCCTTCATATAAAATTTAAAAGTAAGTTTTAGAGAATACCTCAAAACAGAACAAAACAAAGCATGAACTCCCCTTTGGCCACGAGGAAAACGCAAGGCTGGAGTTTTCATGTAGCTGGATGCCTCAGCCAACAGTGGCACAGGGCGATGCGTGGGGCAGTCTTAGAAACGGTTTAAGTCTGAAGCAGCAATTCCATTTGTCTTAGCGACATGAGTGTCAAATTGTTAGTGTCACACTGTTGTAAATTGTGTCCTGAGCCTGAGAGGCTCCTGCTTGCAGGTGTCCTCTGTACACTGGAAACAAGCGGAAACCTCTCTGAAGCACAGCAAGCCCCCAGGCTATTAAAGAGCAGGCTGAGACCTCACCAGACAGCGCGCTGGAGCCGGGCCCTGACACTCCACTGCGTATGCTCGAGAACTACCACAGAAAAAGCTAAAATAAATAATCCAAATGAAAATGTTTGTTCCTGAGAAAGGTCAAGTTCTGGAAGCTTGTGCCAGCAAGAGCAAGGGAGGCTAACCCGAGTCTGTGGCTGCTGTCATAGCTCTGTCTGTAACTAGTGATTGCAGAATGACCATTTCCTAAGTGTCCTGTCCTCCCAGAAGCAGGAGGATTGCTTGAACAATAGAGCTAGACTGAGTATCTAACAAAACAAAAAACTTTATTCTTTTACTAAAAGAAGAATTTTGCTGTTATTACCAGTTTGCTTCAGCTGTGAAATTTGTGCTGCGAGCCACCTTTGAAGACACTTTTAAAATTATGGTATTTATGTGTCGCT